GGGTGAAAAAATACTTGGAATCATTTTATATGTTGTGTATGGGTTAGTTGAAGAGATTACCCTGGTATTTTCAAGTTCTTATTCAGTTTCTTCCAGTTAATTTTTTCACTGCCCTTGATTACTGACCTCAGAATTTTATGGTAGCTCCTCTTGTTGCCATGTGTCAACACCCTTGACTAAACAGTCAAGTATTGTTGGTTCAATAATCTATAGCAGTAGCCCTACTGTTCTCAGCCCTGGCTGCTCATCATGACTTAATGTCTGTGATCAAGGGCTGATTATAGTAGTTGCTGACTTGATAGGAATTCAGGGGGCAAGAGAGGTTCCTGAGAGATTGCACCAAGCTACAAGGTCCTGGAGATAGAGTTGATTAGTCAGGGTTTTTCCCCAAAGCATTTGAATCTATAAAAGCAAGAGGTCTCTTGAGGAACATCAAGCCAGGAGGTTAGATGGACCCACAGTGAGGACAATCATTCATAATTCAGCAGCCAGGTTAACTGGAAGCAGGCTCAAAGTATTTTGTGAGATGGGTTGCCACAAGACTCAGGAATAAACCTGTGTATAACTCTTGGGTGTTGGTGGCCATCTTTTTAAGTCTCTGTAGGGTGGAGGACGAGTCTGAGAACCTCTGAAGTCAAGCATAATTGGATACTTGCTGTTTCATACAAAAGGACACCAAATAACCTAGTTTTTGAGCATCAAGAACTCCTAAGACATAAAAAATTTAAACACTGATCTTAACCTTTGCTCAATAAGCATCACAAACATGTGACTTTATGCTGCTTTTGAGTTTCAGGACCTCCTATTCCATTTCCTCCCTTGTTTAGGGGTAGAAAATATACCAAATGAAGTCAAAAGAAGGAAAAAGACAATGAGATACCTGAAAATCCACATGTTGAATTTAAGTAATTGAATACTGGCTGCAAATGAGGAAAATAACCAAACTTAACATGACTGGGTTTCTCATCTGAGACTCCCAAATCCCAGAATAAACATTAATCAGCACAGGATCCATTTCCCTTTGGGCTTTAAGTAAATCCCATTCGTTTTCTGTTATATCATGAGGTGTGCAGTAGTTGAATGACATGACCAAGTAAGCTAATATGTGGTAAATAGGCCCCAAATCATGTATCACTGCCAGATCCCATTATTTAGAAGAATTAACTAAATGTATTTGTTCTTAACCTTTCTAGATCTTAAGCCCTTTTGTTAATGTGATGATATTTGTGAAAAAAATGTCTACACATACAGCATTTTGCATACATTTGAAGGCTGATGGGCCTCAAGTCCATCCTTTGGTCTCTGTTCCATGGATCTCAAGTTAAGAATTCTGATTTATGTTTGGGGGATCACCTAGGAATCTCTTCACTACAAGGAAGATCTGTTGGGAGTGAACTGCCACCATTTTGTCTCAAGTTCGCTGAGAAACCCACTGAACTACGTACGTATTGACATGAAAGAATCATAGAGTTTTAGCTCTAGCCAGTTTGGCTCATTGGATAGAGCATCAGCCTGGGGACTCAAGGGTCCCCGGTTCAATTCTGGTCAAGGGCACATGCCCGCATTGTGGGCTCGATCCCTGGCGGGTGCAGAAGGCAGCTGATCAATGATTCTCTCACATCATTGATGCTTCTATCTCTCTCTCCCTCTCCTTTCCTCTCTGAAATCAATAAAAATATATTTTAAAAGAGACCTAGCCCAACTGAAATGGAAAGCAAGATTTGGACAAGCCAACTTTATCTTACTACAATATAAATAGATGAATGTGCAATAGTTAATGTCAACCAAAGAACTGGGTATCTTTTCATTACAATGGCACCAACCATATCCACTAAAAGTGCAAATTCATTTGTGTGAACTGGGCAGATCCTCAGAAAACATCTGCTTAGGAAATAGATGCTCATTGCTTGTAACAGCATGTCATTATAATGCAGCGATTTCACCATTCCTATTTAGGAGCCAATAAATTGCCCAATTGGACAGTTAGAAATCTGGTAGTGGGCTATCCTAATATCAGGAGATAGAGACACATGTTGGAAATGAAAAATCTACGCTCCATTAGAAAGTCATATTCAGTAGACACCATCTTTTTATTTTTTCAAAAAAGTACAAAACAATTTTTTTTCTATTTGAAAAACGTCTCTGTAAATTGTGGAGACATACAGTCCCACACTACATCAGAGACTAAACGTGAAAAAATGAACTGAACCAACTTTCTCTGAGAAGTCACTGATGAAAATAAATGAGTATAAATGAATTAATACTAAGCAAGAGTTTTCCATGTATTTTCCCGTTATTGCATGGTGGAATAATGTTGAGGGGGCCCTAACCGGTTTGGCTCAGTGGATAGAGCATTGGCCTGCGGACTGAAGGGTCTCAGGTTCGATTCCAGTCAGGGGGATGTACCTTGGTTGCGGGCACATCCCCAATAGGGGATTGCAGGAGGCAGCTGATTGATGTTTCTCTCTATCCTTCTCCCTTCCTCTCTGTAAAAAATCAATAAAGTATATTTTTTTAAAAATAATAATGTTGAGGGGAAAACTAAATTCATATGTTTTCCCTGGTAGCATAGCTTAACAAGAGCTGCTTCCACAAGCTTATGAGCTTTCATAGCAAACTGCTGAGTACATCTAGATCAGTGGTTTTCAACCTGTGGGTCGCGACCCCTTTGGGGGTCGAACGACCATTTCACAGGGGTCGTCTAAGACCATCCTGCATATCAGATATTTACATTACGATTCCTAACAGTAGCAAAATTATAGTTATGAAGTAGCAACGAAAATAATTTTATGGTTGGGGGTCACCACAACATGAGGAACTGTATTAAAGGGTCGCAGCATTAGGAAGGTTGAGAACCACTGATCTAGATAATAGGGTTAAAAGCCCACCTTATGATAAATTACTCTAGACTCTAATTTGGCTAAATTATTTGTGGTCCAAAAAGAGATTTAATGCCAAGCTCCTAATTTGAGCTACATGTAGTATTTCCTTTTTTAAAATAATCCTCACCTGAGGACATGTTTTATTGATTTTTTAGAGGGAGAAGAAGGGGAAGAGAGGAACATCAATGAGAGAAACATTGATCAGTTGCCTCCTATAACTCACAACCTAGATATTTGCCCTACTAGGGAATTGAACCCACAACCTTTTGATGTATAGCACAACACTCCAACCAAGACACCCACCCAGGGTACATACAATATTTCAAGACCAACTTTCATTACTATCAGTTTATAAATGAATTATGTGTAAGCAACTGAATAGTGTAACAACAACAACAAAAAAAACATGTATCAGACTTTTCTTTGATCACACTCTAGTTTTATTAACGCAGTGTTTTTTAAGATACTGAAAGAAATTGGAGATTACTGACTAGTCTTTTTTTAAATATATTTTTATTGATTTCAGAGAGAAAGGGAGAGGGAGAGAGAGAAACATCAATGATGAGAGAGAATCATTGACTGGCTGCCTCCTGCATGCCCCCTGCCGGGGATTGAGTCCACAACCCGGGCATGTGCCCTTGACTGGAATTGAACCCAGGACCCTTCAATACACAGGCTGATGCTCTATCCACTGAGCCAAACCAGCTAGGGCCTGACTAGTTTTTTATCTCCAAGTTTATCTATTGTTCTCTGAGTGGAATTACTATGTTTGAACAGTCATAAAAGGTGTGAAATTTAGTGGTTAAGTGAGGACTCTGGTGGCAGACTTCCTGGGCTAGAACCTCACCTCTGCCAAATTCTAAATAGCTTTTTGGGTAAATTAATTAATCCCTCCGGGCCTCAGTGTCTTCATCTGGAAAAAGTGAGAGCCCTAGCCGTTTGGGCTCAGTGGATAGAGCATAGGCCTGCGGACTGAAGGGCCCCAGGTTTGATTCCGGTCAAGGGCACATGCCCAGGTTGCGGGCTTGATCCCCAGTAGGGGGGTGTGCAGGGGACAGCCAATCAATGATTCTCTTATCATTGATGTTTTTCTCTCTCTCGCCTTCTCCCTTCCTCTCTGAAATAAAAATATATTTTATTTTTAAAAAACACTTACTTTAAAAAAAAAGTGAGAATAACAACTGTGCTCACCTCCTAGGGTTATTGTCAGTATTAAGTAGGATGATCCATTTAAGAAATAGGTCAGTGCCTGGGACATGGCAAATGTTCAGTAATCGTTAGCTATGATGCTGATGCTGCTTCTAAATATGAAGACAGAGAGGATAGAGGAAGAAGAAAATAAAAACAGAGAAAATATAATAATATTTCCTGAGCATGTCTCTCTTGAAAACTATACTTGGGGCTTTCAAATATATAGATTTGAAAAATGCTACAAAAAAACACTGAGTGATATGCACAACCTTCCAATATGTGCTCAATGCCCCTTAATTTAACCTTAATATAGTTAAAATGGTAAATTTGATGTTATGATTATTACATTAGTTACTCTTGAAGGAAGAGCGGGAGGGAGGAAGGAAAGGAGGTGGGAGGGAGGGAGCGAGGGAGGGAGGATGGGATGTCGGGGAGGGGGGAAGGGGGGAGATCCAGTGCCCAGGTGAATAGCAGACACATGAGGTAGGCAGGCCCTTCAGAGGAATCATCCCTGATCCTGCAGGACGCCGAGTGGTTAGTCTCTTTTCTGCTCCTGTACTCCCCACCTTCACAGAGAACCTCATGTTCTGTCATGAATTAGAGATCTTTCCATGTAGTCTTTCTGTGTATGGGATATTTATTCATAGGATACCCGAGTGGTAGTGAAATTTCTGGGTCGAGTAAATTTTTTTTAAGAGTGAAATTTTTGATATGTAGGCTAGCGTTTAATTGGAATTGAGGGGCAGACTTGGGTGATCCATGGACTCCCTGAAATTGTAGACATATCTGAGTGCGTGAGCATATGTACAGTTTCCTAGGATTTTAGTTACTCAGAGTCTCTTAGACTAAAACATGCCTGAGGCTAGATGTGTCCCCCGAACAGAATTCTGAACATTGTGTCTATAATCTCCGGCTTTGACAAATGGAGTGTTTTAAAGTAACTTTATCATTCGACAATTCATTGTACATGGGATCTTTTTTTACACACACATCTCATTCTTGTAAGGTCTGAGCATTTCTGCTTCCCCTTGTGACCTCCCTCTCTCATCAGACTAAGTTCTGAAATAGGAATGGGAAAGGAGAGAGTCCAGCCTATTTCAAGTTCAGAATGGAGAGAACACAGCATCCCCTGGGGAGGGGTAAAGAGTGACGCTGCCATAGAGGAGAGTGTTGGAGGCTGGACAGAGGCTGTTGGGTCAGTGGCAGGAGGTACGGTTGACCCCTGACTCCCAGGAGCAGTGCACACATGGCAGTCCATGGGTTTGGATCCTTCAAGCTGCTTGCCAGGTTGGAATGACTAATGACATCAGAGGCTTCTGACCTTCCTGATTGGAAGGACCAAATTCCGTGGTGCTTGGCAACGGGGGTGGGCAACAGCATCTTCTCCAAGAATTTGAACAGATCAGAGTCTAGGTGTCCTGAAAGGGAAGATTTGGGAGAAATCATGGCCAGTTGTGAACCAAGTTTCCAGCGTGAGAACCAGAGACCACAGCCTAACTGCTCAGGGTGCCCCCTAGAGGTGAGAGTGGTTGAAGTCGTGCCAGGACCATCAGGTGAGGAAACTGGGGGCAGAAGGGATTTGAGAGGGTTACCATTGAGGAAGGGGGACCGGAGTAGTGTGTGTGTGAAAGAGAGATTCAGAAAGCCAGGGATTGGAGGAGATCACAGGAGCTGGGGACAAGGACATCCCCACGAAAGGAAAGCCTGGGAAGGAGGCTAGGAGATGAGATCCAAGGATGAGAGAAGGGAAGGGAGGAAATAGTGGAGGGTTCCTGTCTTTTCCCTCCAATGGGAGAAATTATCACCAACAAGGAAGGGTTTTGAGGACAGAGACATAGAACAATGACAAGATGACTGGGGGACAGGTGGGCATCACCAAAGGAGTAAGATGGAAAGATGGCTGGGGGGACGGCCAGTAGACTATGAGACTGGAGACAATGGAGGGGTTTGCTTTGGGGACGGGGAGTACATGAGGTGGACTGGGTATGCAGTTTGTTTTATGTAACCAGTAGCCCCTGCCAGGTAGCGAGCTCCCTCTCCTAGGAGGGCTCCGTGTCAATCACTCATGGGGTGGGGGGGGGGGCACTCAGAGAAAGGAAGGGGCCCGGCTTCCCCGCTGAATTTTATCTTCATCATCAAGGTCTGAGAGGTGCCCTTCAGGTCCCGCTCAGCTTCCTGATCAGCTCTCACTGGCCTTCTGATTCTAAACACCTTCATCTGTGTAAGAGGGCACATAATAAGGCCACCTTCCCACCCTGAAGGGACTGTCCACTGACAATGGCCATGTGTCGGCAGGGGTACATTCATGCATGTTGACAGATTATTTCAGCTCTGAATCTTGTAGATAGGTGACTGACACCCTACCTGTCACTCAGTCACCCCAGACTGGGGGGTAAGGTTCAGGGGTCACCACTGCTTCCTTATCCCAGGAACTATCTCCTCTGTCCCTCTTCCTACTGGCCTCGGCCTTGGCCACAATCCTGAAACTTCCCCAGGAGGGCCATGGTTCTGCACTTGGCCCTGGAACGCTCCCATGGCAACCCTGTTGCTGTCCTCAAGCTAACATATGCCCTCTTTCACAGAGGATCCTGTCATTAAAAGATTCCTGGCCTGGGACACAAATCTGAGGCTCTCTGACAAGGTAAGAAGTACTCCTGCTCTGCCATCTATCCTGGGGCAGGGGAGAGCTTTCTGAGCCCACAGCTCTCTCTCCAGCCTGATGCCTTGTCACCCCTTCCCTTCGGGGACCGGGGGGTTTCCTGCAGTGTGGACGGGCAGCCCTGCCTCAGCCCTGGCTCCTCTGGGATCTTTTATGTTTGTTCTCTTTCCATCAGTATCTCCTGACCATGGTGATAGCTTATTTCAGCCATGCGGGCCTCTTCTCCTGGCAGTACCAGCCCTGTGAGTATTTTGCTTATTCTCATCAGTAAATATTCTTATCTTGGGAGATGGAGGGCGAGGAGTGGGTCTCTGACCTTTCACTTATTTTTTTAACCTATTTATAGTTTCCTTTGTGTATGAATTGATAGGATTAGAGTATAGTGTTTTTTTAATGCTGTTTGTTGTTAAAGGCAACAACCTTATGGTCAGTTAAAAGAACAAAGCCAAAGAAAACACAAAAGGGTCATAAAGAAGTGACATCACTTTGCTCCCAAGTAAATAGGCTTAGGACTAGCCATTACTAATTCCCTCTTTCTCTTTCTTTCCCTCTCCTTCGTTCTCTTCTCTCTTACATCAATTACAATACCAAATGTTACGGTCTTCCTCCTCAACTCCAGCTGGTGTGGCTCAGTTGTTACGGGTGTTCTCCCCTACACTGAAAGGTCCCGGTTTTGATTCCCAGTCTGGCAGGAAATCATCCCTGGCCCTGGTCAGGGCAAGTAAAGGAGCCCTACTAGGAGAGGGATGTGTCTCTCACATGGGTCTCTCTGGGTCTCTCTCTCTCTCTCTCTCTCTCCTCCCTCCTTTAATTTTCCCTAAAAATCAATGGAAAAAAATTTCCTCAGGTGAGAATTAACAATAAATTGCTAGCTAGCTAGCTAAAACAGATCTAGTGTAAAATGCTCCCCAGGTATGGTTCTCACAAGTCTCCTGAATATCCTTCCAAAACACAGGTCTAACCACTTCACCACCCTCCCCAACAATTTCACTTGCTAATTACCTTCTAATTCAAGGCCTGGATTCTCAGCTTGAATTCAGCTCTTTTTTATCTCCATCAAACTTGCTTACCACCCTGATATTACATTCTTTGTTTCACTGCTCTTCCAAACACCTTCCATGTGTTTTTATGTTATGTTTTCTGTCTACGTGTTCTTAACATCTATGCATCTTTTAAAAAGACATATTCTTAAAATTGATTCAAACATCAAAATCTTCACATACCATCTTTAACCCCCCAATTTCTACATGCCAGTATCACTTTAATTAAAATTCCATTAAAACGTGATATTTTGGATTATAATTATTTCTCTTCTATCCCCTTTTTCCTTCCCTAAATTCATTAGACAAGACACCTGTTGAGGACAGCTCTTGTCAATCTATCAATGGTTTCTTAAAACATTCCACACAATTTTTTTATTTTTCTAAATGTTGAAGTTATATTGAGTCTTTAAGGTAATCAGTTTTCCACTTGACTGTGAGAAAAACCATTCATTTATTCATTCTATGCAACCTTATAAAGCCCACCTCATGGCCAGGGAATGTGAGAATGGGAAGAGAATTTAAAAAGTGCTGTTGAGTTACTGGGCCTGTTAGTCATTTGGTAGGAAAGCGATGAAGACCGAAATAGACCGCGTGGTCCCTGCCCTCAGCAGCTGTATGGGCACTGACACTATAGGGACACAGGTGTGTGCACACACAACAGGTTGAAAGGAAGGGGCCCGGCTTCCCCGCTGAATTTTATCTTCATCATCAAGGTCTGAGAGGTGCCCTTCAGGTCCCGCTAAGCTTCCTGATGCCTGGGTGGCACCAGAGACACTGGACAGGGCTCCCGAGGTCCTGTGTGAGGAGGATCCAGCCTGAGTGTTTTCTGGGAAGCTGAGCACAGGCAGGCGCTTCCTCCCTGCTCCTGACTGGCAACCTCATGTCCTTCCTCAGCTACCTGGCCCTGGACATGGAAGAGAATTACCACACCCCTAAACAGGCCATCTTGTCCTTCCTCTATGGGGAGAACAACTGCCCCCAGCGCCCCTTGTTCCACAAACTGCGATTCCAGTTCTTCCGTTCCATGGGCTGGAGGGCGAGGGTCACGCGGGAAGAGTGCGATGAGGTAGGTGGGCTGTGGGATTAGGGGGAGGGGACCACATTGGAGAGACAGGGGACCTTGGGGATTGGTTTGGGGATTTGGGGATGACTAAGAATTGAAGGCTGGACCAGGGACGGGATGGGGTGCACCTGGAGAGTCATCATCTTCTCAGGGGGCTGTTTGTCCTTCCAGATCCAGGCTTTTGATCCAGAGCTCTGGGTCTGGAAGCGAGATCGCGCCCTCCTTTCCGAGACCACCTAAGGTAGGGCTGAAGGAAGGCGGTCGGAGTCCTCACAGGTACAGATGAAAGGATTTGTTGTCTCTAAGAAATCCCAGGAATCCAATGGCTGGACCCATGCTCATCGTCCCCCTCCTCATCACCTCTCCACACACTGAAGTGGACCCGCCAGGCACACAGCCAGGCACTGACTCAGCTCCCAGCCACAAGCTGACACACAGGCACCTCAGTGGGATGTGTGGGGGCCAGACCTCAAGATTTGGTGGATTCATTTTAAACAGAGCAACTAGGTCCAAGCAATCAATTTGTTGAAATGTTGAGTTTCTTGAAAACTGAGTTAGTTTCCAATTTTTTCCATATATTGTGACTTCCTGTTGTTCATTCACTTGGGCCTTTCTCCCTCAGGAATGCCAACTACAGGGACGTTCTGCACTGAAGTCAATGTCTAACAATAGGGTATCAGATGGAACAGTCTCTAAATCCAAAGATAAACAGATAAATCCCACTAGCTGTCTTCATCCACGTTTACACGCAAACAAGTGGCCCATGGCCAGATCACCCTGTGTCCTTCACTTCCCCTGGCTCACAATCTCTCCCCTTGGACCATTACATGTCTCCCCTCAAGTTTATGGTCAAGGAAGTTTGTCAGAATGAGCAAAGGTTGAGAAATACTGGTCTAGCATGGCTTGCCCTGATCGACACATGGGAGTTACAGATTGTGGCAGAGGACTGAGTTTTGGTTAAAATCTTGTGACCTCGCTACCTTAGTCCGTTCTGGCTGCTATAACAAAACACCACAGACTGGGTGGCTGATCAACAACAGACATTTGCTTCTCACCATTCTGGAGGCTGGAAGGCTGCGATCAAGTGCTGGCACGGTGGGGTTCTGGTGAGACCGTCTTCTGTGCTGCAGACGGCCAACATGTCGCCATGTCCTTACACAGTGGAAGGAGGGAGGCATCTCTGGAGCCTTCTCTAAGGGCAGACAATAAGCTCATTCTTAGGGCCCCACCCAATGGCCTAACCACCTCCCAAAGGCCTCCACCTCCTAATACCATCACCTCAGGGGTAATGAATTTGGGGGACACAAACACTCACACCGTAGCACTAGCCTCGTTCAGACTCGGTATGATAGTTAAACATCCGAATCCAGGGTTAGGAGCAGGGATGGGGCGCCTGGTCTCGTGGTCTGTGATGTGGACATGTCAGTGATGTTTGCAGTGTGGCTGGAAGTTAGATGTGAAGGAGCACAAAAGGACCAAGGTGTGAGTGAGCTAGAGCAGCTCTCTCCCTAGGTGTGCTGCCCCCGAACACACAGTCACCTAGAGTCCTGGCTATAAACAGGTCACTGGGTACACTAAGGAATGTTGGGACTCAGGGTCGTCAAAGTCCAAGCATAACACTTGGAAACAGTGGTTCAGGAGTGGGGTTGAGAAGGGAGGACTGGAGATAAAATGGGGCCTACAGGTTAGCCAAACTCTGTTAGAATTGCCTGAGATTTTAATAATCTTTACATGTGGAGAGCTGCCTGTTTGGAATGTGACATCCTGTCTCTTCCTCTTACCTCTAGATCGCTGAGCCCAGGGCAGACTCCACTTTAAAGCAGGAAGTCAATCCAGATGCTCAGGACAGACAGGAGGAAGGGAAACATCATCCAGAAGAGCCCAGAACGCCCTCCAACAGGCTCCAAAGCTATGTCTGTCTGTTCCCAGGAGCACGTTTAGGAGTCTGTAGGAGGACAATACGGAACTAGGGTTTTTTCAGATTCCATCCCTTCCTAAGGCTCCATCCCAAATTTCACATTGTTTAATTCAAATCTCCCGAGGCAGAAGCTGGAGGTCCCACATTTTCTACACCTGGTTGTAGCCTTCCAGAGCCATCTGAAGGTGGTGTTTGGGGTCTCAGACCAGGAGGGAAATACTTTAAAGTATAAAATTAGAGCCCTAAGTTTGTGATAGCTGAATGTATGCCATGCATTCTATGGTTTGTTTAGAAAATGTTGCCCATAGGATTATTATATTTATTCTCATATTTAATATTTATATATTTATGTTAGGTAGATTTGAATAGTCAGTAGTTTTAAAAAGCTTTCTGATGAGTATTATAGCTGGCATACATATGCAAATACTGTATAATTTTGTTTCCATTTTCAAGAGAGGTTTCTCTGGTTTTATCTATTATATTTATATAATATCAATTATCTTATAGGTAGGTGGTAGTTCCCCCATATTCTTTGTGTGTGTGTGTGTGTGTGTGTGTGTGTGTGTGTGTGTCCTCTTAAGCTTTTACATAACTGTAGTCACATTCAGCATCTTGCTTTTGTGGGAGTTCAGAACAAGTCACCCCAAGATGTGCCTCAATGGTATGTGATTATTTTTTTAAATATATTTTATTGATTTTTTTACAGAGAGGAAGGGAGTAGGATAGAGAGTTAGAAACATCGATGAGAGAGAAACATCGATCAGCTGCCTCCTGCACACCCCCTACTGGGTATGTGCCCGCAATCAAGGTACATGCCCTTGACTGGAATCGAACCTGGGGCCCTTCAGTCCATAGGCCGAAGCTCTATCCACTGAGCCAAACCAGTTAGGGCCCCCATATTCTTATAAATTTTTATTTTTTAGACTTTATTATTGAATTGTGAGAATTTGGGTGTAATTTATTGCCTTGCCTGGATGGCATGTTTGTATGTTAATTTAGATCATTAAAGAGCACAAGGCAATGCATCTCTGGAGAAAATATAATACAGATGAATTCTCACCTTTGCGACGTGTCTGGTCATGTCAGTTTAATTAGCCTATTCACTATCAAATGATAATGTAGCTAAATGGGGCTGTGATTATTCAACCAAATTTCTTAACTCTGAGAAATAATCCCGAATTGTTTTCCACGTATTAGAAAAAAACAATAGAAGTTGAGTCAGATCCTAAGTTAGAGTCTGAGAGGGGGAAGAAGGGGACGATATTGAGGTAGAAGAATGGGGAAGAGCAGAGAGAAGGAAGAAAGCACCCCGGGTACCCAGGCAATAACCAGAAATTCAAAGTCAAGGACAGGTGACTCCACTAGACAAGCTTTCCCGGAAATGGGCTGTGACAGGGGACCCCTGGGCACAAGAGAACACACAGTGTTCACTCTTTTACCCCTCATGGGAGTCCTTTTCACAACCTCCAATAACAGTTTTAGCTGGTAGAAGGAACATCTAGAGCCTGTGGTGAAGCAGGAACCATGGGAAAGAAATGAGGGTACTGGGGAAATTTCTGGGACGAGTTCAGGCTGTTAAGGGAGATGGGCCTGGAGAAGGAGGAACTACTGCCGTGAACAGTGGATTGTGGAGGAAAGCTTCCTGGGAGAGGGGATGGTCAGAGGATGCTGGGACGGTCCCGCACCCCAAGCTTCCGTGTCCTCAGCCTGTGGCCTCCCTCACAGCGCACAGATGTGCCTCACCCATCAGAGAAGCTCAGCTGAGCTTCCAGGACCTGGGTTTTCTTGGGGTTTCAGTATGTAGCACCATCTAGTTTCTAGTCAATCAATCACTGGCCAGGAGGTTGAACTCAGTCCCCAGGGCCCGCTCCTCCCCAGAGACTGGGCTCCAATACCTGATCTGCAGTCCCAGGGCTGGTCTTTCTGGCCTGACGGGCCCACGCCCTGAGGCTCCTCCTCCTCATAAGCCCAGGTGTGCTCCAGGGGGCCCCGCGTGGTGCGCACACACCCCGACCACCCAGGACATTCCTCCAAGGAACCAGGGACAAGGACCAGCCAAAGTGTTCATGATACGACACACTGGGCATGGCCGGTGGTCAGGGCAGGGAAACAGGTGAGGCTGCAGGAACAGTTTAGGCCAGAGCTGTGGCAGCGGAGATGGGGGACGCTGAAGCAGTGAGGAGTGGAACAAGGGGGTGCTCACAGCCTCTGGAGGAGCTCAGGAGATGCACAAATTCAGGACATGGGGCGAGTCTTCTCCACACAGTGTCTGGGCAAAAGGAATATGGGAGTTCTATGTACAATGCTTGTAACTGTTCTGTAAATTGGAAGTTTTTTCAAAATAAAATACTGATTAAAAAAGAATGCTATCAAATACATAGGGAATGACTCAAAGGGACTCAGAAGAAGCGATTCACAGATGTGCCCACTTACACATCAAAAGGAGTAACAACTTCAACCTACCAAAGTACTTAAACGTTTAAATCCACCAGCTCATAATAGTAACAAAAGTAAGCAAATGTAAAATCCTGTTCAATATTTTGGAAATTGTCTTCTTGTATGAACCACAGAACCAAGTAAAGAGGAGATGCTATTCTTCAGAAAAGTAGTCCAGCTCATAAGTGAAGGAGAAAGGGTAGAGAAGCACCTTACCATTCTATAGCCTGTAATGAATCATTTGGTCACGGTAATGGGTATCAATCAACAGAAGCTAATCTCACAAGACAAAGACAGGAGGATAAAACGGGCTTCCAGAAGAAAGAGGGCACATGTCATGGACAAGAGTCTTGCCAAACACTCTGAACTGGTCCGAGTCAATTTCCAATCTAACTACCAATCTTACAAGGCCTACAAGGAATTAAAAAAAAAAAAAGTAAAGTTAAAACAGATGGCAATGCAATCCCCACAATCCATACTGTGAGAAACAGGATAAACAACCCAATTTCTTCAAAAAACAAATTGCAAAGAAATAACACAAGAGACATAAAGGGGAGTTACTATTAATAGATTTAAAACACCAATCTCCTACCTGAAACATATGGACGCTATTTGTGTCCTGACTGAAAAGAACAAACTAAACATTTAGAAAAGGGAAACTTTGAACACTGAATATTATCGAATCCTATATAATAATCCTATATAATAAAGAGGGAATATGCAAATTGACCATCACTCCAACACACAAGATGGCCGCCCCCATGTGGACACAAGATGGCCGCCACAGATGGCCTGCAGGGGAGGGCAGTTGGGGGTGACCAGGCCTGCAGGGGAGGACAGTTAAGGGCAATCAGGCCAGCAGGGGAGGACAGTAAGGGCAATCGGGCCGGCAGGGGAGCAGTTAGGCGTCAATCAGGAATGGCAGGTGAGTGGTTAGGGCAGCCGTGGGCAAACTTACGGCCCGCGGGCCGGATCCGGCCCGTTTGAAATGAATAAAACTAAAAAAAAAAAAGACAGTACCCTTTTATGTAACGATGTTTACTTTGAATTTATATTAGTTCACACAAACACTCCATCTATGCTTTTGTTCCGGCCCTCCGGTCCAGTTTAAGAACCCATTGTGGCCGAAACCGGTTTGGCTCAGTGGATAGAGCGTCGGCCTGCGGACTGAAAGGTCCCAGGTTCGATTCCGGTCAAGGGCATGTACCTGGGTTGCGGGCACATCTCCAGTGGGAGATATGCAGGAGGCAGCTGGCCGATGTTTCTCTCTCACCGATGTTTCTAACTCTCTATCTCTCTCCCTTCCTCTCTGTAAAAAATCAATAAAATATATTTAAAAAAAAAAAGAACCCATTGTGGCCCTCGAGTCAAAAAGTTTGCCCACCCCTGGGTTAGGGGGTGATCAGGTTGGCAGGCAGGTGAGCGGTTGGGAGCCAGCAGTCCTGGATTGTGAGAGGGATGTGTCGACTGCCCTCTAGGGGTCCCAGATTGGAGAGGGTGAAGGCTGGGCTATGGGACACACACACACACACACACACACACACAGTGCACAAATTTTGTGCACCAGGCCTCTAGTATTATATAAGAAAGAATGGTACTGGGGTTATATCTCCACTCATTTTTTTAAAAAATATATTTGTATTGATTTCAAAGAGGAAGGGAGAGGAAGGGAAAACATCAATGATGAGAGAATATCATTGATTGGCTGACTCCTGCATACCCTGTACGGGGGATTGAGCCCACAACCTGGGCATGTGCCCTGACTGGGAATCGAACATTGAACTCCTGGTTTAGAGGTTAACACTCAACCGCTGGGGCACATAGGGTAGGCTCCACCCACTTTTTCACAGACTCTTTATCGATCAAGGATACACACAGAAATTCTCGCAGGTAAACTTTTTTAAAAGTCAGGTAAAGGGAGAAAATAACAGTTTGGAAGAAACTCACGTCAAAGGCAGATGAATGGTCACCTGATGAAAAGAACTGGAAAAAGTGCACTGGATTTGACTATAATTAGGTCACTGCTAATCTTTACCCACAGATGCAGGAAAATGGTAAGGACAAAGCCAAGACACTGAGAAATGAAGTGGGAATGGGCAGCGAGGGCATCTTTACTAGAGAATACTTTTATCCCTGGTTAAACGGTAAACATGGAAGCATATCTATCTGCATCACAACATGCTGATGCCCGGAAAAATCATAAGCACCAAGTTCTCCCGGGGCAGGAGAACTACTTACAAAAGTGAGTTTAAGCCATAGATTACAATGATTTACTGGTTGTTATTACAGGAGCTATCTATATTATGTCAGCTTTATTAAAGAAAACTTTCCAGGTCCTAGGGAATCTTTACAACCCACAGGAACAAATATGGTTTCTCTTCTTATAATCTATAAAATCACGTAATGAAAGGCATTTTCCTCATTCTATGACTGTCAAAGACATTGGTCCTATTTGCAGCTCAAAGTTGATACAAAGATTCTTGGTGCTGATCTGACACTCTAATAGCTGCATTTTACATAATGTCTTTTATCTACTTCTACGTTCCCATTTTAAAATATAGCCCAGAGGTCAGCTGGGACCTGCCCTTCCATGCCAGACGCTCATGCCTCGATCGCCGGCCAGGCCTAGGGACCGCACATGGTGCACGAATTTCATGCACCGGGCCTCTAGTCCTATCTAATAATAGCCAAACATGGTAATTGACCGTACCTTTGCTACACCTCCCATTGGCTAATCAGCGAGATATGCAAATTAACCGCCAACAAAGGTGGCAGCTAATTTGCATACTGCAGGCAGGGCGGGACAGTGCCAGCCGCCCACGCGAGCCGCCATCCAGGCCCCCATGGGCGACCCAGGAGCCGCCTGCCTGCCGCCCGGGACCTTATTGGTCCTGGGCCGCTGGCAGGCACCAGAAGCCCCAGAAGCCGCTAGATATGGCAGTAACTCTATCAGTAAGCACTCTCAAAGTCAGTGGCATAAATGCACCAATTAAAAGACAGATTATGGGTGAGCTGGAGGGGCTGGCGCGCACATGCGTGCGGGTCCCGCCCCTTCCAGAGCACGTCCGCTTTCCCCTCCCCCCTCCCCCCCGTTCTTCCGCCGCCGCCTCAGAGCCTTCCCCCGCACCCAGCCCTCTCTTTTCGAGGGGGAGGGAGCCCGTCTCGCCCATCTACTGACTAACCCCTTCACCCCAGCTTCGCCCCGCCTTCCCTGAGCTTCGGAACAAACTCCGTAGTGAGAGCTCAGCTTTCACATTCCAGCCTCCGCCTCCTCTCTCCCCTCCCAACCCTAAAGCACTTCCTGCAAACTGCCCTGTTCTCGATCCTCTCGGCGCCACCTCCCACTTCCCACTAACTAGGTGGTGGCTCTCATGTCGGCGGGGGCCGTGGGTTCTAGTCCTGGACTCTCCCCCTGGAAATAGTGGTCTGCCCCATTTTCAGGTTGGGGAAGTTAAGGTCCCGATATCTGACGTGCTTGATTCTAATGGCCCCTCGAGTGGTTCCCAAGTTCAAACACCCTGACGCTGGGAAGATGAGCCCTCGACCCCCTGAAATGTAAGCAGCCTTGCAGACCAAGTCTCCGATCTTTCTCTTGGAACCCTCAGTCCTTCAAGCCAAACCATACCAGCCCAGTCAGCAAAAGTCACAAAAACGTGCCCTGGCCGGTAACTCAGTGGTTAGAGCGTCAGCCTGCAAACTGAAGTCCCGGGTTCCATTCTGGTCAGGGCATGTGCCCAGGTTGTGGGCTCCATCCCCAGTAGGGGGCGTGTAGGAGGCAGCCATCAGTGATTCTCTCGCATCATTGATGTTTCTCTCCCTCTCCCTTCTTTTAATCAATAAAAATATTTTTTAAGTCAAAAAAAATTAAAGACAGATTATGAGGGTGAATCAAAAACAATACCCACTTTTTAAAAAATTAAATCTTTATTGTTTAGATTATTACAGTTGTTCCTCTTTTTCCCCCCATAGCTCCCCTCCACCCGTTTCCCACTCCACCCTCTGCCCTCACCTCCCCACTTTCCTCATCCATAGGTGCACGATTTTTGTTCAGTCTCTTCCTGCATCCCCCACACCTCTTTCTTCCCCCAAGAATAGTCAGTCCACTCCCTTTCTATGCCGCTGATTCTATTATAATCACCAGTTTATTCTGTTCATCAGATTATTTATTCACTTGATTTTTAGATTTACTTGTTGATAGATGTGTATTTGTTGTTCATAGTTTGTATCTTTACCATTTTCTTCTTCTTCCTCTTCTTAAAGGATACCTTTCAGCATTTCATACAATACTGGTTTGGTGGTGATGAACTCCTTTAGCTTTTCCTTATCTGTGAAGCTCTTTATCTGACCTTCAATTCTGAATGATAGCTTTGCTGGGTAAATTAATCTTGGTTGTAGGTTCTTGGCATTCATCACTTTGAATATTTCTTGCCACTCCCTTCTGGCCTGCAAAGTTTCTGTTGAGAAATCAGCTGACAGTCGTATGGTACTCCCTTGTAGGTAACTGACTGTCTTTCTCTTGCTGCTTTTAAGATTCTCTCTTTGTCTTTTGCTCTTGGCATTTTAATTATGATGTGTCTTGGTGTGGTCCTCTTTGGATTCCTTTTGTTTGGGGTTCTCTGCGCTTCCTGGACTTGTAAGTCTATTTCTTTCACCAGGTAGGGGAAATTTTCTGTCATTATTTCTTCAAATAGGTTTTCAATATCTTGCTCTCTCTCTTCTTCTGGCACCCCTATAATTCGGATGTTGGTACGCTTGAAGCTGTCCCAGAGGCTCCTTACACTATCTTTATATTTTTGGATTCTTTGTTCATTTTGCTTTTCCAGTTGGGTGTTTTTTGCTTCTTCGAATTTCAAATCTTTGACTTGATTCTTGCGATCCTCTGGTCTGCTGTTGGGAGTCTGTATAATATTCTTTATTTCAGTCAGTGTATGCTTAATTTCTAGTTGGTCCTTTATCACCAACTAGAGGGTCTCATTAGATTTCTTGAGGGTCTCATTAAGTTTATCGGCGGTTTCTAGAAAATTCTTGAAAAACCTTAAAAGTGTGGTTTTGAACTCTATATCCAGTAGTTTGCTTTCCTCCATTTGTGTCCTGTTTCTTTGTCTCCGCATTTTTTTATGCTTTGCTGTGTCGATAGAGTGGCTTTCTGTGCTAGGTGTCCTATAGGGCCCAGTGGCTCAGCCTCCCCAATTACCTGAGGTAGACACTCTTGGTGCACCCCCTTGTGGGCTTTGTGCACAGTCTTGTTGTAGTTAAGCCTTGACTGTTGTAGGTATCACTGGGAGGGATTGACCTCCAGGCCAATTGGCTGTGAGAATCAGCTGTGTCTGCAGTGGGAGAACTTCTGTGCTGGAGACACCCCTCCGGGGCAAGACTTGCTTCAATGGGGCTTTGGTGCTCACTGAGTCTGCCCCCTGAGTGTGTCCTTTACGAATCCGAGGAGCTGCAATCTGGATGGTCCCACTCTGACCACCAGGCACACTGGCTCCTGGATCTCTAAGGAGGTGCTAATCTAGCCTCTGCTTGAGGCTATCCAGCAGGAGCCAGCTGTGACGCAATGCAAGTTGCCCTGGGGCCTTGGGCCAGCTGCAGTTTGTTAGGTAATTATCAGATTGCAAAGGGCCAGGCCTTTCATATGCAAAAGCCTCCGTGGCTTGGGCAGGGTGGGGTCCCAGGAGATCAACAGGGCAGAGGGAGCAGTTATGGCTGCTCTCAGTCCTGCCCTCAGAGGCCCTGCTTCTCAGTGTCCCGGCAATCGCTGCAAGCACCCCCGAGAGAATGCTGCCCCCGAGTTCCGACCGATGCCAGACAGTCCAGTTTCTCCCATATGAGTCTGGGTCCCCAGAGACTCATCCGGAACTGGAGCTCGGAGCTTGAGACTCCCTCCCGATTGAAAAAGACAACTGTGTCCTCAGCCGCCAACCCTCTCTGCATGTGCCTCTGTACCTCTGTATTTTACTTCCGCACCACACCTCCTCTGAGTCTCGGTATGCCTTTCTCTTTCCTTCTAGTTGTAGAATTTCCACTCAGCCAGCCTTCCTGTGGTTCTGGATGATGTCCATTCCGTCTTTTAGTTGTATTTTTGAAGTGGTTGTGCGAGGCAGCAATCTCCGGTGTTTACCTATGCCGCCATCTTGGTTTCTCAAAACCCACTTTAAATATAAAGACACATATAGATTAAAAGTAAATGAATTAAGCTGCAGCCTGTTTTGCTCAGTGGATAGAGCACTAGCCCATGGACTGAAGGGTCCCAGGTTTGATTCCAGTCAAGGGCATGTACTTCAGTTGCTGGCTTGGTCCCCAGTCCCTATCAGAGCATGTGCAGGAGGCAACCAATCAGTGTGTCTCTCCCTTTCCTTTCACTCTCTCTAAAATTCAATGAAAAAATATCCTTGGGTGAAGATTAACAGAAACAAAGTAAATGGATTAAGTAACATTAAAGAGATTATAAGAAAAATATATTCCAAATTTTGTTAGTTGTATAATGGTTATGTTTAAATTATTAACACCGAAGAAATTGGGTGAAGGGTACTTATAATATGCTGTAGTATTTTATAGGTTTTTTTTAACATGTATGAGATTATTTCAAATTAAAATATTAAAAAATTAAAAATTAATATAATATTAATTAAAATGTATCTACATTACATAAAAAATCTCCTAATTGCCTCTAGCATAATTTATTAAATTGTGCTAAAATTTACAAGCATTGAATTTAAAAATATCTTAATTCTAAATGATATAATAGAAAATATTTAATAGTGCAGTTATAAGCACTTATCTGAAAATAAAAATTTAAAGAAGTGAATTTAAAGAAGGGATTAGCCAAAGAAAATATAAGCACAACCCTTGGACACAGACAACAGTATGGTGATGGCCAGAGAGAAGTGGGGAGCAAGAGCTGGGTAGAGGGGGCAAAAGGGGGGAAATAGGGATATCCTATATAATAATAATAAAAGGCTAATATGCACATTGACTGAACGGCAGAATGGCCGGTTGCTATGATGTGCACTGGCCACCAGGGGGCAGACGCTCAATGCAGGAGCTGCCCCCTAGTGGTCAGTGCACTTCCATATGGGGAGTGCCACTCAGCCAGAAGCTGGCTCATGGCTGGCCAGCCCAGAGGTGGTGGCAGGAGCCTCTCCCACCTCCGTGGCAGCACTAAGAATGTCCAACTAACGGTTTAGACCTGATCCCTTGGGGACCTAAGCCTTTAGTCGGACATCCCCCGAGGGCTCCCTGGCTGCCAGAAGGAAGTCTGACTGCAAGCTTAGGCCTGATCCCCCGGGGAGTGGGCCTAAGTCAACAGGTGGACATCCCCCAAGGGGTCCTGGACTGCAAATGGGCGCAGGCCAGGCTGAGGGACATCCCCCCCGAGTGCACAAATTTTTGTGCACCGGGCCTCTAGTCATTAAATAAACCTCCTAAAATGCATCAGGAAGTGGGAAAACTCACCTGGGATTCATGCGTTTTCTGCTGCTCCAGGAAAAGTGTAGAGATTGTTAACAGTGCGTGGACCTAAGGGAGAAGAAACAGATAATTGTAGTCATGAGGAACCTGAGTTGCTGAGGCAGGAACCTCTAGCACAGTGGTTCTCCACTTTCTGGCCCTTTAAATACAGTTCCTCACGTTGTGACCCAACCATAAAATTATTTTCGTTGCTACTTCATAACTGTAATGTTGCTACTGTTATGAATCGTAATGTAAATATCTGATATGCAGGGTGGTCTTAGGCGACCCCTGTGAAAGGGTCGTTTGACTGCCAAAGGGGTCGTGACCCACAGGTTGAGAACCGCTGCATAAAAAACACCAAAGAAACTCAATAAAATGACACCCTGTGAACACTCAGAAGGGCCTAAAAGGGTGATCAAGGAGAAACAAACTCTTAAGCATTGTTAACTCCAAAAGGATGTGAAGCAATTAGACCAGGTACTCCACTGGTGAATATAAACATGGACTCCTTTTACATATAGTTGTCCATCCTATGTAATAAAAGCCTAATATGCAAAATGTCCCCTTGATCAGTTCGACCCAGAGTTAGACTGCTATGATGTTCGCTGACCACCAGGGGGCGGCGCTAAACATGGTGGGCATTGGCCACACAGTGCTGGCAGCAGGCAGCAGTGAAGGTGCTGGCAGCCCCAATGAGCCCCAACGAGAGCGGGACCACGTGGGATGGTGGAGCAGGTAAGCAGGCAGCACCAGGCCAAGCCGTGCCAAGCAGGGCCTGACCGTCTCACCAATCACCCTGCAGATGGCGACCAGTGGCGGGGGGTGGGGCCGCCGCCCAGCTCCCAGCCGCTGAGGGAGCCAAGCAGGGGGCCCGGCCCAGATCAATCGTCCCACAGATGGTGACCAGTGGCCGCAGGCCCTGATCGCCCGATCAGCGCCAGGCCCCAGGCTGGGACAGGGAACTGGGGGTGGGTGGTGGCGACCAACCTCCCTCGGCACCCGGGCAGGGGGCTGCAACCTCTCGCTGGCTACCTGGGGGCGGGGGTGACCAGAGAATGCGGGGTGTCCACCGAGCTCACCTCACTCCCCCTGCTACCCTTCCCTGGGACGTCAGGGCTGGCGCGCCAGGAAAGCCCCACACTCAGGTGCCAGGTGCCCGCGAAGAGCCTGCCCCACAACGGCACAGCCTCTTCCAGGTGAGCTAGGCTGTAGGCCAGGACCGCAGGGGCCTGTCTGTGAGGCCGGCCAGGAAAGAGCGCTGCCTGACCGGCTTCCGTGTGGCACGGCTGGGCAGCCCAGAGGCCCACACTGCGCCCTGGCCTGCAGCATCCGGCCACGCTCACCACAACTCCGCGTGAGGACTCGGGCACCATGACTGAGGAAGAGGAGGGCACGCGGGGGCCCGGGGCCCAGGTGCTGCCCAGGGCCCAGAGGTCAGCTGGGACCTGCCCTTCCATGCCAGACACTCACACTTCGATCGCCCGCCAGGCCTAGGGACTGCACCGCTGCACTAATTTCATGCACTGGGCCTCTAGTCTACACTAATAAAAGAGAAACATGGTAATTGGCGTACGACCGCTACCCTTTTCATTGGCTAATCAGTGAGTATATGCAAATTAACTGTCAGCCAAGATGGCGGCCAGCCAGGCCGGGATCAGCGGAGCCGAGAGGCCTCCGCCCCGGGATCAGCGGAGCCGAGAGGCTCCTGGCCGCCTGGATCAGCGGAGCCGAGAAGCCTCCGCCCCGGGATCAGCGGAGCCGAGAGGCCTCCCGGCCCCGGGATCAGCGGAGCCGAGAGGCCTCCCGCCCGGGATCAGCGGAGCCGAGAGGCCTCCCGGCCCCGGGATCAGCGGAGCCGAGAGGCCTCCCGGCCCCGGGATCAGCGGAGCCGAGAGGCCTCCTGGCCGCCTGGATCAGCGGAGCCGAGAGGCCTCCCGGCCCGGGATCAGTGGAGCCGAGAGGCCTCCCGGCCGCCTGGATCAGTGGAGCCGAGAGGCCTCCCGGCCGCCTGGATCAGTGGAGCCGAGAGGCCTCCGGGTCCCGGGATCAGCAGAGCCTGATGGAAGCCCTGTGTGTTTATGCACCCTGGGGGTGCAGAGGTCCTGTCCTAGGCAGAGGCCTATGGCGAAAATTTCGACTCTGAGAAGCAGCCTACGGGCTGGAAGGCGGCTCCTCTGACCTCAGTGCTGGAGAAGACCATTAAGCAGAAAACTAAAGAAACCGATTTTACATCATTTCCCAGGTGGAGAACAGTTGGCATGTAAGCCCCTGACCAGTGCCCAGCCTCTCCTCTGTCAGTCTATCTCACTCTTAGGTACCATGTTCTTTGTTCTGTCTTAACAGCAACTCATTTTTAAACTAGATTGCTTTTAAAAGAAGACTAAATAAAGTTTCCCTTAAGTTATTTAGGTGGTGCTGGGGCTGCTGGGGCTGCTGGGGGCCTGATAGAAGACACAAACATGCAATGGGGGGCCTGTACCCAGCAGCCCCAAGGCCCGCCACCTTGGTGCTGGGGCTGCTGGGGGTATCAGAGACACAAACCTGCAGGCCCGGCACCCAGCAGACCCAAGGCCTTCATGGCAGAACTAAGGAGCAGCAAGCCAAGCGGTAGGAAGCAGCAAGCAGGTGGGCAGTAACAAGGGAGGGGTCCCGGACTGCAAGAGGGCACATGCTGGGCTAAGGGACCCCCCACCCATCCCCAGTGCACGAATTTCGTGCACCGGGCCTCTAGTCATTAAATAAAAGGAGAAACAAACATTGTTTACACTCTTTCCATTGACAAAAAACAAAGAATCCACAGGAACCCAGAATATGAGCTCTCAAAAGTGGGATAAATGTGCATCAGAGCATAGTTTTTGTTATCTCACTTAAACTTGGTTGCCACTGAGCTTAATCTTTTATCAAGAAAACGGTAATACAATGGGCAGAACCCTTGGCCTGGGGGTCCTGTTAGCAACGCCGCCCAGAGGCCCAGAGACCTAGGACAAGCCACCGCCCTCGGGCCTCCCTTCCCCGTCACCCAGGCGGCAGGGCATGGCCCTTGGGACGGACCCTGCGCTGCAAGGGCCGGCACACACTTGGGACAGATCCAAGGCCTGGGGGACGCGGAGAGTCACACCGGGAGCCCGGAGAGGGCGAGAGGCTGAGCAAGGGCAGTTGGGGTGCGCAGGGAGGAGGGGACGCGGCTGGGGCGCCACCGCCACCTCGCCATCCCCCGGGAGACCGAGAAGCCACCCTCCCGGGGCACCCACTCCGGAGCAGCCCGCCCTGCCCTGGGCGCCCACCCGCGGACCTGCCGGAAGCGGCCCACTGCTCCCCGCACGCACCCCCGGCCGCCGCCCGGGAGGAGCCCACCCAGCCCTGCCCACCGCGGGAAGGTCCAGAACTGGCCGAGGCCGCGCACGCACCACCTACCCCATCCGGAGTCGCTGAGCTGCCCAAGGCCCCGCCGCTGCGCCCCCCAAGGAGCCGGCCCTGCGCCTGCGGGACAAACTCATTCAGGAGAAGATCCCCGCGCCCAGGGCCTCACCCTGCCCCGCGGCCCCTCCGGGATGGCCCTGGGGGTCCCCGCTCGCGACGCTGCCCGCACAGCCCCGCGTCCGCCCCCCCGGACCACGGCACCCTCGCCCAACGGACGCCGGCGCCCGGGCACCGCGGGCAGCACCGGCCTGGGCACGCACCTCTCGCGCCAGCAACGGCAGCGGCAGTGCGCGTGCGCCAACGGGCCCACATGACACGCGCAGGACCACGCGGGGCCCTGCCAGGGGTCCACCCCTCAAGTTAGGGACCTCCCCACGGTCTCTCCTCCGCCGGCCCGGGAGGAGGCGCTGAGCTCAGAGCGCTGGCCGCCTGGACCCGGCCCGTTTCCCTGCTCACCCATCCGCGCTGCTCTTAGGGACCAAGGAAAGGTGTCGCCTGTGTGATTGCCACCGGCAATCCTGGTCCTTTCTTTGCTCTGGGACTTTTCCTGTTAGAACCGAGCTTCCACCACAGCCAGGCGAGGAAGGGAAGGGCGTATCATGTCCACTCACCTGAAATACTGGGCGTTTCACTGAAACACTAGGAACCTGCAAATGCCCAGCCATGTCATGAAATAGCATTACCCATGTCCATATGGCTTCTCCAAGGACAGAAAAGATCATAGAAACAAAGTCTTCTACATTACACAACTAATGCATAAAAACTGTAAAAGCAATCATCAGAAAATACAACCGAAAAATAAAAGCAGAGCTCACCTCTCAAGGAGCATTGCTTACATTGGGTAAAAGTGTCACTTTTTTTAAAATGGGATCTTGCCCAGCCAGTTTGGCTCAGTGGAGAGAGCCTGGGCCTGCGGAATGAGGGGTACCGGGTTTGATGTCCCTCAAGGGCACATTCTCGGTTGCGGGCTTGATCCCCAGTAGGGGGCGTGCAGGAGGCAGCCAATCAATGATTCTCATCATTGATGCTTCTCTCTCCCTCCCTCTCCCTTCCTTTCTGAAATCAATATATATATATGTGTGTGTGTATATATACATATACATATATATGTATATATACATATATACATATATATATATATATGATTAAATGGGATCTTAAGGACTATGATTAACACTTCTTGGCAGTGAAATAATACAACCGTGTTTTTGGCCAATTGTTTCTTAAAAGCTGGTCGGAGGGGGGCGGGATTAATAATAAAATCTCTTGCCAACCCAGAAAAATCACTCCACAACTGTAGAAATAAAGAAAACAGTTGTGTTTATTGTTGAATAACCATTAAACCAGACTGGAAGGCTCGTGGCAAGCAAACCAAGGAGATTTCAAAAACAAACGAACCTCATCTTTTCAAATAGCTCAGCAGGTCTAATCATTACAGAGGTGTTCTCAAGGTCATGGTTACTCATCTCGTGTAAAAGGGCAGCACCATTTGCTATACATTCTTTCACAGTCCATTGTAAATTCACCTGGTAGTCTGGGTAGCCATCCATGTTAGTTAATTGCCTTTATCCCAAGGAAAAAGGAAAGCACTCATATCTCCATGAAAAGTGGGTAGTTCAAACAAAGGGTCAAAAGCAAGTCTCAGGGCCAAGAGGTGGGAACAAGCCACGCATCCATCAGCAGATGGATGGATAAGCAAAATGTGACCCTTCTAATGAATTCTAGTGGCCCAGTGCATGAAATTCGTGTGCAAGGGGGGGGGTGGTCCCTCAACCCAGCCCCTGTGGGATAGGGCCTAAACCGGCAGTCGGACATCCCTCTCACAATCTGGGACTGTTGGCTCCTAACCACTCACCTGCCTGTCTGATAGCCCCTAACTGCCTCTGCCTGCCTGCCTGATCACCCATAACTGCCCTCCCCTGACAGCCTGATCTCGCCCCCAACTGCCCTCCCCTGATGGCCTGATCGCCCCTAACTGCCTCTGCCTCGGCCCCCACCACCATGGCTTTGTCCAGAAGGAAGTCAGACATCCGGAAGATGGCCAGTTGACCCGGTCTAATTAGCATATTACCCTTTTATTAGTATAGATAGATTATATTGGATAGGATTGCTTAAAGAGGCGGTGGGGAGCCTTTTTCAGCAGGAGGAGATGCTCTTGGCAGACAAAAATACATAATCCCTATATCTGGACTGATAGCCAGCCATATGCACTATACTGCCAAACCAGTCATTAAAAAATTGAACTGCTTTCTTACACCAAACAGCTGTTGCCCTTAAAATCCCTCCTCAGCCTCCACCTTAGGTTCTGCCTTCACAGTTCACCCAGATAAGGTTCTGATTGGTTGGTTTCTATGCCAGTCAGCATCAGAAGCTCCACCTCCTAGGCAGCCCTTGGCTCCTCACATCACACAGATTTGGTTCTGATTGGTCGGTTTCTATGCCAGTCAGCGTCTCCGGGCCTATCCCCGGGCCTGATCAGAGAGGCGGGGCTGATGAGCAGCCCCGTGGAGGTGGAGGCCCTGAGAGAAAGAGAGGCATAGCTGCTGGACAGGCCCCCAGAGAAAGAGAGAGGCAAGGGCTGATGAACAGCTGCCATGGAGGTTACGGATCAGACCCTGCCTCTCTCCGGGCCTGATCCGCAGCCCCCTCCACAGTCAGTGCCGGGTCACCAGCACCGGCGACCCAGCACTGACTGCAGGACTGACTTCCAGTCGGTCAAGCTTTCGGTCGTTTTGGACGTTACAGACCCTGGGTTTTTATATATTAGGATTATTCATCCTTAAAAAGGAAGGCAATCCTGACACATACAACATGGATGAACCCTGAGGACATTATGCTGACTGAATGAGCCAGAAATAATGGACAAATACTGTCTGATCCCACTTATATGAGGGGCCTAGAGTGGTCAACCTCATAAGGAGAGAAAGGTAAATGGTGGCTGCCAGGGACTGGAGAGAGACAGGGGGAGTCAGTACTTGATGGCTGCAGAGTCTCAGTTTGGGAAGATGAAGAGGTTGTGGAGATGGATGATGGTGATTGTAGCACAACCATGTGAATGTGCTCAATGCCACTGAATTTAACTGTAAATGTGGTTAAAATGTTAAATTGTGTTATGTTATTTTACCACAAAAAGGAAGAAAGGGAGAAAGAGAGGGAAGGAGGGAAGATCTCTCCACGTGGTCTCTTTGTGCATGGCACATTTCATCCATAGGCTACTGGGAGGTAGTAAAATGTCTGGGTCAAGGATGATACACAGGCTGGAAACATGTAGACTAGAGTTTAATTGGAATTGAGGGGCAGCTTTGGGAAATCCAGAGACTCCCTGAAATTGGAGACACCACCTGAGTGTGTGAGCACATGTGTAGTTTTCTAGGATTTTAGGTTCTCACAGTCTCTTGGACTAAAAGATGCCTGAGGCTGGAAGATGCATGTCCTCCAGTACAGAATCCTGAACATTGTGTCTGTAACCATCGAGCTTTGGCAAATGGAGTGTTTTAAGTAACTATTTAATACGAGGAGTCAATGTAGCTGGGATCTTTTTTACACACGTATCTCATTCTTGTAAAGTCTGAGCACTTCTGCTTCCCCTAAATGTCCTTGTGAGCTCCCTCTCTCATCAGACCAAGCTCTGAAGTAGGAATGGGAAAGGAGAGCTCAGCCTATTTCAAGTTCAGAATGGAGAGAACACAGCATCTCCTGGAGAGGGGTAAAGAGTGATGTTGATACGTGGAATCTAATTAACAAAATAAACTGATGAACAGAGTGGATCCAGAGACAAGGAAGCATGGAACAGAGTGTGGAATCTTGGAGGGAAGGTGGGGGAAGGTGGGTGGAGAGGAGGTAATCAACCAAAGACCTTCAGTGGTTCTCAACTTTCCTAATGCCGTGACCCTTTAATACAGTTCCTCATGTTGTGGTGACCCCAACCATAAAATTATTTTCGTTTTTACTTCATAACTGTAATTTTGCTACTGTTATGAATCGTAATGTAAATATCTGATATGCTATATGTATTTTCCGATGGTTGCGACCCACAGGTTGAGGACTGCTGCAGATGGACATAGACAGTGGGGTGGTGAGGCCTGGGGTGGGGTGTGTGGGGGTGGGGGATGGAGGGAATCAATGGGGGAAAAGGGGAGACATATATAATACTTTCAACAATAAAGATTTTTTAAAGAGAATTATGCTGACATTTGAGGAGAGTGTTGGAGGCTGGACAGAGGCTGTTGGGTCAGTGGCAGGAGGTACGGTTGACCCCTGATTCCCAGGAGCAGTGCACACATGGCAGTCCATGGGTTTGGATCCTTCAAGCTGCTTGCCAGGTTGGAATGACTAATGACATCAGAGGCTTCCGACCTTCCTGATTGGAAGGACCAAATTCCGTGGTGCTTGGCAACGGGGGTGGGCAACAGCATCTTCTCCAAGAATTTGAAAAGACTGGAGTCTAGGTGTCCTGAAAGGGAAGATTTGGGAGAAATCATGGCCAGTTGTGAACCAAGTTTCCAGGGTGAGAACCAGAGACCACAACCTAACTGCTCAGGGTGCCCCCTAGAGGTGAGAGTGGTTGAAGTCGTGCCAGGACCATCAGGTGAGGAAACTGGGGGCAGAAGGGATTTGAGAGGGTTACCATTGAGGAAGGGGGACCTGAGTAGTGTGTGTGTGAAAGAGAGATTCAGAAAGCCAGGGATTGGAGGAGATCACAGGAGCTGGGGACAAGGAAATCCCCACGAAAGGAAAGCCTGGGAAGGAGGCTAGGAGATGAGATCCAAGGATGAGAGAAGGGAAGGGAGGTAATAGTGGAGGGTTCCTGTCTTTTCCCTCCAATGGGAGAAATTATCACCAACAAGGAAGGGTTTTGAGGACAGAGACATAGAACAATGACAAGATGACTGGGGGACAGGTGGGCATCACCAAAGGAGTGAGATGGAAAGATGGCTGGGGGGGGCGGCCAGTAGACTATGAGACTGGAGACAATGGAGGGGTTTGCTTTGGGGGCGGGAGTACATGAGGTGGACTGGGTATGCAGTTTGTTTTCTGTGGCCAGTAGCTGAATTCCAGAGGCAAATGCTGTGTGTTGTAGCTGGTTTTTTTACTCAGGCCCCTGTGCAGAGGGCAGCGCCCTGCCTCGATCTGCTCGCCTGAAAAGGAAGAGGGAGTGGCCCACAGAGGAGGGGACAGAGGAGGAGCCTGCCCCTGGGGCTCAGGACCTCTGGGTCGTGGAGACCCTGTGCGGGCTCAAGATGAAGCTGAAGAGGCAGCGGGTGTCTTCAGTGCGACCTGAGCACCATCAGGCCTTCACCAGGCTGCTCGGTAGGAAGGGACCCTGCAGAGCACCCTCCAATCCTACGCTTTAAAAAGGACCTTCCAATAAGTACTCCTTCCCAATAGAAAAGAATTCCCTGCCAGTTAGCGAGCTCCCTTTCCTAGGAGGGCTCCATGTCAATCTCTCATGGCGGAGGGGGGGCGGGGCACTCAGAGATAATGGAAGACTAGGCTACACTTCAAATGGGGCTGCACTTGGGGTCAGGCAGCTCAGTTTCAACTGCACCCTCTGCGACTACTCAGCTCTGACTGGCCTTCTGATTCTAAACACCTTCATCTGTGTAAGAAGGCACATAATAAGGCCACCTTCCCACCCTGAAGGGACTGTCCACTGACAATGGCCATGGCATCGGATTACTTCAGCTCTGAATCTTGTAGATAGGTGACTGACACCCTACCTGTCACTCAGTCACCCCAGACTGGGGGGTAAGGTTCAGGGGTCACCACTGCTTCCTTATCCCAGGAACTATCTCCTCTGTCCCTCTTCCTACTGGCCTCGGCCTTGGCCACAATCCTGAAATTTCCCCAGGAGGGCCATGGTTCTGCACTTGGCCCTGGAATGCTCCCATGGCAACCCTGTTGCTGTCCTCAAGCTAACATATGCCCTCTTCCACAGAGGATCCTGTCATTAAAAGATTCCTGGCCTGGGACACCAATCTGAGGCTCTCTGACAAGGCAAGAAGTACTCCTGCTCTGCCATCTATCCTGGGGCAGGGGAGAGCTTTCCGAGCCCACAGCTCTCTCTCCAGCCTGATGCCTTGTCACCCCTTCCCTTCGGGGACCGGGGGGTTTCCTGCAGTGTGGACGGGCAGCCCTGCCTCAGCCCTGGCTCCTCTGGGATCTTGCCCCTGTGGTTTTGGCCACATCAAGTGCCCTCTTCTCTCTGCCTTTGGGGACACCCCTTTGCTCCAGCCTGTCAAAGACCCTCCTGGAGCTGGCTGTCCTGAGCACACGCCCTGAAACCTCAGCGCTTGCCACTGGGAGCATCAGCCAGTCACTCATCCCACTGTTCCTCCTCTTTCACAACGGGAGTCCTTTTATGTTTGTTCTCTTTCCATCAGTATCTCCTGTCCATGGTGATAGCTTATTTCAGCCGCGCGGGCCTCTTCTCCTGGCAGTACCAACGCCTTCATTTCTTCCTGGCCCTGTGAGTATCTTGCTTATTCCCATCAGTCAGTATTCATACCCTGGGGAGGAGGAGGGAGACGAGTTGTATCTCTGACCTTTCATCTATTTTTTTTAATTTTTGTTAATTACCACCCAGGGATATTTTTTCCATTGATTTTTTTAGAGAATGGAAGGGAGGGGGAGAAAGAGAGAGAGAGAAACATCAATGTGAGAGAGACACACCCATTGGTTGCCTCTCACAGGAGCCTCGACCAGGGCAGGGAACTGAGCCTGCAACCGAGGTAGGTGCCCTTGACCAGAATGGACTCTGAGACCCTTTAGCTGATGCTCTAACCACAGAGCTAACCAGCTAAGGCCTTTTCATCTATTTTTATAACCTATTTGTACTGTTCCGTCTAGTTATAAAAATGATAGAATTGTAGTATAGGGTTTTTTATACTCTTCTTTGTAAAAGCCAACAACCCTAATGTCAATTAAAAGATTGAACAAAATAAAAGAAAACACAAAAGCCTCATAAAGAATTGATACCACTTCACTTTACCCCCAACAAATAGGCTTGGGACTAGCCATTTCTAACTCTCTCTCTCTCTCTCTCTCTCTCTCTCTCTCTCTCTCTCTCTCTCTCTCTCTTTCTCTCCCCCCCCCCCCCCCCGCCATAACCATGCCAAATGTAATGGTCTTAGTCCTCAATGCAGGCCTTCATTAAACAACCCTGGCTGATGTGCGACTGAGTTGGTAGGAGTGTTGTCCCCTAAACCGAAAAGTTGAGGGTTCGATTTCCAGTCAGGGCACATATGCAGGTTGCAGGTTGCAGGTTCAATCCCAGCCCCAACTGGGGTGCATGCAGGAGGCAGTGGATCAGAGTTTCTCTCTCTCTCTTTCTCTCTCTGTGTCCCTCCCTCCCTTCCCCTCTCTCTAAAAATCAATGAAAATATTCTCAGATGATAATTAAGAAAAAAAGTATTAAACAACACAGATCTATTGTAAAATGCTACCCAGGGGTGTTTCTTACAAATCTTCCTGAATATCCTTCCAAAACACAGGTTTAAACACTTCACCAACTACCACAAGAATTTCATTTGCTAATTTCCTTCTAAATCAAGGCCAAAGTTTTCAGCTTGAATTCAGCTGTCTCAGGGTCTCCATCAATACCACCCTGATATCCCATTCTTTGTTTCACTGCTCTTCTAAACACCTTTTCCTGTTTTCTTACTATTGCTTTCTGTCTAGGTATTATTTACACATATGTATCTGAAAAAAAGGTGTATTCTTATACTGATTCAAACAAAAAATATTCAGATAACTTCTCTGACCCCCTAATTTCTACATGCCAGTGGTTGGTTATTCAAACTGTATTATAATGTGATATCTTGGATTACAATGACTTCTCTTCTCCCCCTTTCTCCTTCCCCAATCCCATTCAACTAGATACCTGTTAGGACAGCACTTGTCAAAATATCAATGGCTTCTTAAAACACTCCACACAGGGGGTTTTTTATTTTGCAAATGTTCAAGTTATATTGAGTCTGTAAGGTAATCAGTTTTCCACTTGACTATGAGAAAAAGCATTCATTCATTCATTCATTCATTCTGTGCAACCTTATAAAGCCCATTCATGGCCAGGGAAGGTGAGGATGGGAAGAGAATTTAAAAAGTGCTGTTGAGCCCTAGCCGGTTTAGCTCAGTGGATAGAGAGTCAGCCTGCAGACCATAAGGGTCCCAGGTTTGATTCTGGTCAATGGCATATGCCTGGTTGTAGGCTGGATCCCCTGTGAGGGGCATGCAGGAGGCAGCCAATCAATGATTCTCTCTCATCATTGATATTTCTATCTCTCTCTCCCTCTTCCTTCCTCTCTAAAATCAATAAAAATGTATATTTTTTAATAAGTGCTGTTGAGTTACTGGGCCTGTTAGTCATTTGGTAGGAAAGCGATGAAGACCGAAATAGACCGCGTGGTCCCTGCCCTCAGCAGCTGTATGGGCACTGACACTATAGGGACACAGGTGTGTGCACACACAACAGGTTGAAAGGAAGGGGCCCGGCTTCCCCGCTGAATTTTATCTTCATCATCAAGGTCTGAGAGGTGCCCTTCAGGTCCCGCTCAGCTTCCTGATGCCTGGGTGGCACCAGAGACACTGGATGGGGCTCCCGAGGGCCTGTGTGAGGAGGATCCAGCCTGAGTGCTTTCTGGGAAGCTGACCACAGGCAGGCGCTTCCTCCCTGCTCCTGACTGGCAACCTCATGTCCTTCCTCAGCTACCTGGCCCTGGACATGGAAGAGAATTACCACGCCCCTAAACAGGCCATCTTGTCCTTCCTCTATGGGGAGAATAACTGCTCCCAGCGCCCCTTGTTCCACAAACTGCGATTCCAGTTCTTCCGTTCCATGGGCTGGAGGGCGAGGGTCACGCGGGAAGAATGCGAAGAGGTAGGTGGGCTGTGGGATTAGGGGGAGGAAACCACATTGGAGAGACAGGGGACCTTGGGGATCGGTTTGGGGATTTGGGGATGACTAAGAATTGAAGGCTGGACCAGGGACGGGATGGGGTGCACCTGGAGAGTCATCATCTTCTCAGGGGGCTATTTGTCCTTCCAGATCCAGGCTTTTGATCCAGAGCTCTGGGTCTGGAAGCGAGATCGCGCCCTCCTTTCTGAGACCACCTAAGGTAGGGCTGAAGGAAGGCGGTCGGAGTCCTCACAGGTACAGATGAAAGGATTTGTTGTCTCTAAGAAATCCCAGGAATCCAATGGCTGGACCCATGCTCATCGTCCCCCTCCTCATCACCTCTCCACACACTGAAGTGGACCCGCCAGGCACACAGCCAGGCACTGACAGCTCCCAGCCACAAGCTGACACACAGGCACCTCAGTGGGATGTGTGGGGGCCAGACCTCAAGATTTTGTGGAATCATTTTAAACAGAGCAACTAGGTCCAAGCAATCAATTTGTTGAAATGTTGAGTTTCTTGAAAACTGAGTTAGTTTCCAATTTTTTCCATATATTGTGACTTCCTGTTGTTCATTCACTTGGGCCTTTCTCCCTCAGGAATGCCAACTACAGGGACGTTCTGCACTGAAGTCAATGTCTAACAATAGGGTATCAGATGGAACAGTCTCTAAATCCAAAGATAAACAGATAAATCCCCACTAGCTGTCTTCATCCACGTTTACACGCAAACAAGTGGCCCATGGCCAGATCACCCTGTGTCCTTCACTTCCCCTGGCTCACAATCTCTCCCCTTGGACCATTACATGTCTCCCCTCAAGTTTATGGTCAAGGAAGTTTGTCAGAATGAGCAAAGGTTGAGAAATACTGGTCCCGCATGGCTTGCCCTGATCGACACATGGGAGTTACAGATTGTGGCAGAGGACTGAGTTTTGGTTAAAATCTTGTGACCTCACTACCTTAGTCCGTTCTGGCCGCTATAACAAAACACCACAGACTGGGTGGCTGATCAACAACAGACATTTGCTTCTCACCATTCTGGAGGCTGGAAGGCTGCGATCAAGTGCTGGCACGGTGGGGTTCTGGTGAGACCGTCTTCTGTGCTGCAGACGGCCAACATGTCGCCATGTCCTTACACAGTGGAAGGAGCGAGGCATCTCTGGAGCCTTCTCTAAGGGCAGACAATAAGCTCATTCTTAGGGCCCCACCCAATGGCCTAACCACCTCCCAAAGGCCTCCACCTCCTAATACCATCACCTCAGGGGTAGTGAATTTGGGGGACACAAACACTCACACCATAGCACTAGCCTCGTTCAGACTCGGTATGATAGTTAAACATCCGGATCCAGGGTTAGGAGCATGGATGGGGCGCCTGGTCTCGTGGTCTGTGATGTGGACATGTCAGTGATGTTTGCAGTGTGGCTGGAAGTTAGATGTGAAGGAGCACAAAAGGACCAAGGTGTGAGTGAGCTAGAGCAGCTCTCTCCCTAGGTGTGCTGCCCCCGAACACACAGTCACCTAGAGTCCTGGCTATAAACAGGTCACTGGGTACACTAAGGAATGTTGGGACTCAGGGTCATTGAAGTCCAAGCATCACACTTGGAAACAGTGGTTCAGGAGTGGGGCTGAGAAGGGAGGGCTGGAGATAAAATGGGGCCTACAGGTTAGCCAAACTCTGTTAGAATTGCCTGAGATTTTAATAATCTTTACATGTGGAGAGCTGCCTGTTTGGAATGTGACATCCTGTCTCTTCCTCTTACCTCTAGATCGCTGAGCCCAGGGCAGACTCCATTTTTCAACAGGAAGTCCATCCAGGTGCTCAGGACAGACAGGAGGAAGGGAAACATCATGCAGAGGAGCCCAGAACGACCTCCAACAGGCTCCAAAGCTATGTCTGTCTGTTCCCAGGAGCACGTCTAGGAGTCTGTAGGAGGACAATACGGAACTAGGGTTTTTCAGATTCCATCCCTTCCTAAGGCTCCATCCCAAATTTCACATTGTTTAATTCAAATCTCCTGAGGCAGAAGCTGGAGGTCCCACATTTTCTACACCTGGTTGTAGCCTTCCAGAGCCATCTGAAGGTGGTGTTTGGGGTCTCAGACCAGGAGGGAAATACTTTAAAGTATAAAATTAGAGCCCTAAGTTTGTGATAGCTGAATGCATGCCATGCATTTTGTGAGTTTGTTTAGAAAATGTTGCCCATAGGGTTATTATATTTATTTTCATATTTAATATTTAGTGAGGTAGCTTTGCAATAGTCGTAGTTTTGAAGACACCCTGTTCCTACAATGTTTTTAATTAGTATTATAGCTGGTATAGATGTCAATATAATTTTGTCTACATTTTCAAGCGAGGATTTTGTATTTTAATCTATTATATTTATACTAGAGGCCCGGTGCACAAAAATTTGTGCACTGGAGGGGGGGCGTACCCCAGCCCGGCCTGAGCCCTCTCACAGTCTGGGACCCCTCGGGAGATAACGACCTGCTGGCTTAGGCCTGCTTCTGGGTGGCAGAGGGCAGGCCCAATCCCTAGGTGCAGCCCCTGGTCAGGCTCAGAGCAGGGCCGAATGGGGAGTTGGGGCGCCGCCCCGTCATGCACAGAGCAGGGCGGATTGGGAGGTTGCGATGCCACCCTCAGTCACGCTCAGGGTAGGGCCGATTGGGGGGTTGGGGCACCGCCCGCTGACACACTCAAGGCAGGGTCGATGGGGAGGTTGCAGCGCCACCCCCTGTCACCCACAGAGCAGGGCCAATCAGGGGGTTGGGGCGCTGCCCCCTGTCACTCACAGAGCAGGGCCAATCAGGGGGTTGGGGCGCTGCCCCCTGTCACTCACAGAGCAGGGCCCATCAGGGGGTTGGGGCGCTGCCCCCTGTCACTCACAGAGCAGGGCCAATCAGGGGGTTGGGGCGCTGCCCCCTGTCACTCACAGAGCAGGGCCCATCAGGGGGTTGGGGCGCTGCCCCCTGTCACGCACAGAGCAGGGCCCATCAGGGGAGTTGGGGCACCGCCCCCTGTCACACACAGAGCAGGGCAGATCAGGGGGTGGGGCGCTGCACCCTGTCACACTCAGGGCAGGGCCAATGGGGAGGTTATGGCTCTACCCTGTCACACACAGAGCAGGGTGATCAGGGGGTTGGTGCGCTGCACCCTGTCAAACACAGAGCCGAAGGGCAATCAGGGGATTGGGGAGCTCCCCCCTATCAGGCACAGAGCAGGGCAGATAGGGAGGTTGTGGCCCCGCCCCCTGTAACACACAGAGCCGCAGGGCAATCAGGGGGTTTGGGCGCTGCCCCCTGTCACACTGATCCCGGTGCTGGGAGGCATATTACCCTTTTACTATATAGAATAGAGGCCTGGTGCACGGGTGGGGGCTGGCTGGTTTGCCCTGAAGGGTGTCCTGGATCAGGGTGGGGGTCCCCACTGGGGTGCCTGACCAGTCTGGGTGAGGGGCTGAGGGCTGTTTTCCGGAAGCGAGTGACTGAAGCTTCCAACCGCTCCTTGTTTTCTTTTATTTTTTTTTTAATTCTGGGCCAGCTTTAGCTCTGAGGCCTCGCTGCTGAAAACATCGATACAATGTTGCTAAAGCCCAGCTGACTGAAAGCCGGTTACTGGGGTTTTGTTTATCTTCTTATTTGCAACATAGTACATAGTTGCTTAGAGTTGTAGCTCAGAGGCCGGCAAGTGAGGCGGGGAATGTTGGAGTCCTCCTCTACTGCAGCAAGCAAGCCTCATGTTCGCTTCCAGCTGCCTGGCTGCCGGCCGCCATCTTGGCTGACAGTTAATTTGCATATACTCACTGATTAGCCAATGAAAAGGGTAGCGGCCGTACGCCAATTACCATGTTTCTCTTTTATTAGTGTAGATAATATCAATTATCTTATAGCTAGGTGGGTAGTTCTCCCATATTCTTTATTTTTTTGGTCTTTATTAGTGAATTGTGAGAATTCAGGTGTAATTTTTTACCTTGCCTGGATGACATGCGTGTGTGTTAATTTAGATTATTAAAGAGCTCAGGGCAATGCATCTCTTGAGGAAATACAATAAAGATGAATTCTCACCTTCAGGATGTGTGTGGTCCTGTCAGTTTGACTAGCCTGCTCACTGTCAAGTGATAATCTAGCTTTATGACTTTGTGATTATTCAACCAAATTTCTTAACTCTGAGAAATAATCCTGAATTGTTTTCCACGTATTAGAAAAAAAACAATACAAGTTGAGGCAGATCCTAAGTTAGAGTCTGAGAGCGGGAAAGAGGGGGATGATAAAGAGGTAGAAAAATGGGAAGAGCAGAGAGAAGGAAGAAAGCACCACGGGTACCCAGGCAGTAACCTGAAATTCACAGTCAAGGACATGGATTCCCCAGGCACAAGAGAACACACACAGTAGTCACTACTTTACCCCTAATGGGAGTCCTTTTCACAGCCTCCAATAACAGTTTCAGGTGGTAGAAGGAACAGTTTCAGGTAGTACAGTGTGTGGCGAAGTAAAAACCATGGAAAAGAAATTAGGGTACTGGGGAAATTTCTGGGAAGAGCTCAGGCTATTAAGGAAGATGGGCCTGGAGAAAGAGGAGCTACTAACGTGAACCGTGGATTGTGGAGGAAAGCGTCCTGGGAGATGGGATCCTCAGAGAATGCTGTGACTTAAACTTAAGTTAGAGCCATCACTGCAGTTAAGAAGACAGATTAACTGCCTGAGCACTAGCCAACACTTTATGAGCTTACCATCTGCCGGGGAGGCTGCTAATCACTTTCCAAGTGTTGTCTCATTCAACACAGCAGGACTATTAGGGAAGTAATTTAAAATCATTCCTTTCCAGATGAGGAAACTAAGTAGGCTAGTAGGATTAAGAAAGCTTCCCGAGGGAGACCAAGATGGCGGCATAGGTAAACACCGGAGATTGCTGCTGCAAACAACCACTTCAAAAATACAACTAAAAGACGGAACGGACATCACCCAGAACCACAGGAAGGCTGGCTGAGGAGAGACTCTTCAACTAGAAGGAAAGACAACAGCATACCGAGGCTCAGAGGAGGCGCAGTGTGGAAAATTTAAAGGTGCAGAGGTACGCGCGCAAAGCGGGCTGGTGGCTGAGGGCGTGGTTGTCGTTTTCAATCAGGAGGGAGTCTCAGACTCTGAGCTCCAGATCCGGGCGAGTCTCTAGGGACTCAGACTCAAATGGGAGAAGCGGGATTGTCTGGCATCAGTTGGAACGTGA